AAAAATAATATGTAAAAAGCCGCACGGCCTATGGAGTGGAGACGCACCAAAAAGACGATGATAATAAATGCGGGTGCTACGAAAAAGAATTTATAATAGTATTTATTTCATAATAAAAAAAAAGCTTAAAATATGCAAAATTGTACATTTTAAATTTAGATTCCTATTCGGTATAATTRTAATTAAAATAACCCAAGTRCAACTTTTATCAAAGTATCAAACACAGCTACACTCATTGAACGATTGTCGCGATTGAACCACTGAACTATCTAAAACAAACATTGTTGAAAGATGCAAAGAAGTGCGCGTGAGATTTAAGATTTGATTTAATTTTAGACTCTTAAATCACAGCATTACTAGCATCGTCACTTAATCATATGTGTTGACTGAAAACGATGAAAAGTATGCGGTATAATTAAACTGACCCGTTTTAAATGACATTACTTTACGATAATAATATTATAATGTTGCTTTTGGTCGATAGCTCTACAAATAATAATAATAATAATAATAAAATTACATTATTTCACGAAACGCTTGCAGAATCCGGTTCACGTGGAGTTCAGCAAGCAGTTCGTACCGGAACGCGGCGTGGACGATCGGATCAGCCGACTGAAGCGCGGCCGGTACGCTATTCTGACAAAGTGTCTGTACGAGAAACACTTCATGGAGTTGGATAAAGTACCGGTGGCTATGCTGAACAACCTACGGACGGGCCGGACGTGCTTGGGCCAGTTCTACATCGGTTTCGGGTTCGCCAAGCGGTCGCCGTTCGTGAAACCGGCCAACTTGGTCATCCAGCGGATCTTCGAGAGTGGGCTGATCGATTATTGGCTGAGCCGGTTGACCGAGGTCCGCATGTCGCCGGCCGCGTTCAAGCAGGTGTACGAGTTAAGGCCACGCAAACGCGACCACCCGTCGCCGCTTAGCTACCGACAGTTCAAAGTCGTGATGGTCGTATGGATGATAGGATGCTTGTTGTCCGCGGCCGTGTTCGCCGTCGAATGTCGGTATGGCCGTGGCGGCAAGCACCGAACACACCGAGCCATGTTCGCGCTACAGCCGCCGCCCATATAATAATATTATTACCATAGATAGGGTTATAGCAGCAAAAACAGGCAAAATATCCATGAAAATATTATAAAATATAAAATGTGAAATATGCAAGAAAAATTTTATTTACTTACCTATTTAAAGCGTGTTGCTTATTTATTAATACGCACGAAAAAAATTACAAAGACATATGTTTAAAAAAATTGTATTATTTAAAACTCTTATATAAGTGATATATAAAAAAAAAATTAAAAATATGGCGCGTTACCGGTTGGCGTTGGAGATTTTATTGAACTGAAAGAATAGTTAAATAAATATATTTTCATTATTTGTGAAATACGAAATAAATATATGTTGAATAATACCTGTTAAGTTGTTTTTCACTTTACTAGCGTTCTGTTATGTAACATTATTTAAAATAAATTGGTTAAGAATGAAAAAAAATTTAATTTTCKTAGAAAATATTAAATATGCGAAATCAATGAACATCGACGAAATATGCACTTTTTCTCTAAAATTATTGAAATATGCAAAATTTGCATTTTTAATTTTCAATTTTTAAACTCAACATTGTATAGCTCGGATTTATAGCTTGGTCTGCTATAATTCGACAGCATACAGAACAATATGCAACTCCTATATAACTTCCGAACCTTAATTATTACTATTGTTTATCAATAATATTTTTTTTCGGATTTAATGCTCATTATTGTCAATGATTCTATACCATTACAGTTATTGTAAAATGTCGGCAGATCCAATTCCGTGTGCGTCAATGTGGTAGATGGTTTTTGACAAATTTAGGTTTTTAGTGTAACTAGTAACTCTGATGACTGTAGATGCATGAAATTGTCAGTGGAAATTGTATTAGTATTTTTCTATACACCATACGATTTTAAACATTTTGACTTTTGAGCCTTATAGGCATATGAAACTTTTGATTTTTATTTA